ACCATGTGGATGCTGGGAATCGAACCCAGGTTCTCTGCAAGAGCAGTCAGTGCTCTTAACCATTGAGTCATCTCTCCAGCCCCCAATGTCTGACTTTTTTAAATGGTACTAGCCTTCCCCTCCTGAGTCAATTTCCTTTACAATCTCATATTCCTTTGGTAAAAATTGTTTCAATCCGTCTCAATTTTTAGCCAAAATTTTTAGGGGTTTTGAGATCCAAAATTTTCTATCAGAGTAGTTTATATACTTATTCTCAATAGTGTCTCAAAGTAAAACCAGGCTCATTCCAGTTTGTATAACAAGTTTTTGTGAATAATCAGCCCTCAAGGCTGTAAGGGGCAGGGCCCAAAATCCCCTTGGATGAGTTAAGCAGTTGCAAAATGGCACATCATGAACACTTGTTCTGAAATTTTCATTTGATGTCATAGGTTGATTACATATTTTCTTTATCTTCTTGTTTTCTTCTCAAATCATCTACTTACAATGGGCATGAAATTTTCCAGCTTAATCATCAATCGTTGTTACTCTGAATACCTTCATTTTATACTGAATGCCCTTGAAAATCCAAAATCTCTTGACTACATGGAATTTTTTTTTTATCCCTGAAACTAGTTCCTCAGTCCATAATATATTCAAATACTTTCAAAGTAGCATGACTTATTTTTTAAGTTTTTCTGAACAATTGATTAGGAAATTAACTGTGACCCCAAAGGGCTGTTTGTTATTGTTACTGGTTTTATTGCTCTTGTTGGTTTGGGGATGCTCAATCCATTAGTAAGAGCTGATGCCATAGTGCATCCTGCTTTTTGTTCATTTGATTTTTTGAGACAGGGTCTCACATATAACTCTGGCATGGGAGTCACTATACTCTAGGCTGGCTTTGAAGTAACCCTAGAAATCTTTTTTTTTTGGGGGGGGTGTCTTTTTTGAAATAGGGTCTCCCTGTAGCCCCCAGCTGTCCTGGAACTCACTATGTAGACCAGGCTGGCCTTGAACTCACAGAGATCCACCTGCCTCTGCCTCCAGAGAGCTGGGACTAAAGGCGTGCACCACCATACGTGGCTCCATAGCAACTCTTTTTGCTTTATCCTCCTGAGGGCTGGGTTGCAGGTACGAGCCACCATGCTGGCCTAAAGGTTTTGCAACAAACCCTAAGTTAAGGCCCCTATTTTTAGTGCCAGAACACACTCTAGTCCGATTAGTACCATAAATAGAATACTAACTACTCACCTGGATTCTCTCTTTAGAGCACCATTTTGTTTCCTAACTACACGGTGGGAGGCAAAATACCTGCAAAGATTCCTGTACATTTCCATTCGTCTCTGTAATTTTACACAGTGCAGAAAAGGGCTGTCCGAGTCTGAAAGGGTAAGTAGACTTTTCCTCAGATTCCAGCACTCAGGAGGCAGAGGCAGGCGGATCTCTGTGAGTTCGAGGCCAGCCTGGTCTCCATTAGTGAATCCAGGCCAGCTGTGGCTACAAGGAGGCCTTGTCTCAAAAAGACCAAAAAAAAAAATATATATATATATATATATTTAGAAGCCTTCCTCAAGAGCAATGTCCCTTGCATGAACCTAGTTCTACTTTAGGCATACTGGAGCATAGTCTTGGCTTTATCATTAAGGGACACCTCAGAAATGACAGTGTGCTTTGCATATTGCGGCATAGCAGTCAAGAAGAGCACTGATGAAGAGACATGCTTGTAAAGGACAAGTGTTCCATGGACAAAATAAAACGGCTCAAGGGATTAGTACTTCATGATGTTCAAAAGTCATTCTTTCAACCAATAGGTGTCTCTGTAACACCCACACTGTGACAGGTACCTGGAGGACAATAGAGGAAGCACCCCCTTGGATACAAACCCAAGCCACACTATGCCTCAGCAACAGAAAGACAGGAACTTAAAATGGGTTTGATGCCAGGCGTGGTGGCACACGCCTTTAATCCCTGAACTCAGGAGGCAGAGGCAGGTAGATCTCTGTGAGTTCAAGGCCAGCCTGGTCCACATAGTGAGTTCCAGGACAGCTGGGGCTATAGGGAGACCCTGTCTCATAAAGACAAAACAACAACGACAACAACAAAAAAAACATAAAAGGGTTATTGATACTAGGAGCCAAGTGTATGAAAAAGTGTAGGAAAAGCAAGGGAGGAGTAACCCAAGGCCACCAGTGAGCTTTGTTTTAGTTTTCAAATCTCATTAAATTTTTTTATTATTGTTATTATCATCATGTGTATGTGTGTATATATATGTATGGGTGGGTGCCCACAGAATCCAGAAAAGTGTGTTGGGTCCCCTGATGCTGGAGTTATAGGTGGTTGGTCGTGTAAGCTGCTCTATGTGGGTGCTGAACTCTGGTCCTCTGCAAGAGCAGCAAGTGCTGTTACTGCTGATCCATCCTTCCAGCCAGCCCCCTTTTTTTTTTTGTTGATTTTTATCTTGGGGTGTTTTTTTGTTTGTTTTGTTTTGTCAGGGTCTTCCTGTACCCCAGCTGGCAAGGAACTGGCCTCAATCTCACAGAGCTCTGCCTGCTTCTGCCTTTGGAATTAAAGGCCTACAGCACCATGCCCAAGGAGGCTGGGTTTTTTTTTTTTTTTGAGACAGGGTCTCCCTGTAGCGCCAGCTGGCCCAGAACTCACTATGTAGACCAGGCTGGCCTTAAACTCACAGAGATCTACCTGCGTCTGCCTCCCAAGTGCTGGGACTACAGGCATGCGCCACCACGCCTGGCTAGAGGCTGTGTTCTTAAAAAAAAGGAAAAAAGGAAAAAGGATTGGCAGGAAAGGAGGCAGAGAGAGAGAGGGAGGGAAGGAGACGGAGAATATTGTTGCTCAAGGACACTAACCAGATGCTGATTTAAATTTTTTTTCCCAGTCCTCTGCTGCGCTTCCGACTTCAGCAGGGTGGTCTACAGACTCATCTCTAGTGTTACAGAGAGCTCACCTATGAAATCCCTCATTTTCTTATGTCCTTTTGGGACTAGAATGCAGCGTATCATCTGTCTCTGCCTCTGTCTGCTGGACTGCCTCCCATTCTAAATGATCTAAATTTTTTCTCTCCTTTCGGGCTCAGTGAAAATAAGATTAATTTCACAGTTTTTCCTGTCTACTTCTGAGGAAACCTTTGGTCCTCTCTTCAGTCTCTGTAGTTTTTATAGTCTAAACTGCCCTTTAGACACCCATCTGCTGCCTCATATTATTTCCTCTTCATGTCTTTTCAACTAGACTGTGAACCTCTTCAGGGTAGAATCTAGGTCATATTTATCTTTGTGTCTCTCCCAAGGCACTTAATAAATGCTTAATAAGTGTCAGCTTAAAACACCTTGCTTTTATGGTCTTCCCAAAGTACTTTCTCAGCCATTATCTCATTTGATCATTACATCAATGCTGTGAGATTGGTGAACTAGAAATCCGTTTTTGCCTCCCCTGACAGATAAGGAAACCTGAAGCCCAAGGTCACAGGGCCCGCTAGAGTTGGAGAGGGAAGAGATAATTGAATATGCAGGTCTGGTCCAATGCGTCTCCATCCTCCCACCTGAAGACCCACTTCCTCCACTCTTTCAGAGCTGCTTAGCCAAAGCTCTGTAGTTTTGTGTCGAAGGGCTCGACAAGTCTGGGTGATGGAATTTCAGTAGGTTTCTGAGCAGCTCTAACCGTCAAAGTACGCTTGCTATTTTACTCCAAGTGCTGTTTGTTAGGGATAGAACGCCCGGTATTTAATGATGCCGCACTGCAGAATTGAGGAAGCATAAATGATTTTTAAAAGCCTTGGGGAATGACAGCACTCTAGCATAAAACATGAAAGCTGGCAGCTGATGAGCTGACCAAGGATATAAAATGTCTGCACCCCATTTAATTTCTCTGTGCTGGATCGCTTTAGTTGTTAACTTGACACACCTGGGTTGGGGGGCCTCAACTGGGGCATTGCCTCCATAGGACAGGCCTGTGGCCATGTCTGTGAGCATCTTCTTGATTACTGAGTGATGTGGGAGGGCCCAGCCCACAGGCAGGTGGGCCTGTGTTGCATAAGAAAGCAGGCTGAGGGTGGGCCAGGGGAGCAAGCCAGTGAACAGCAGATATACAGGGCCTGTGCTCCAGCTCCTGCCTCCAGCCAGGTTCCTGCCTGGGGTTCCTACCTTGGGCTCCCTGATGAACTACGACCTGGGAGAAGTAAGCTGAATAAACCCTTTCCACCCCAAGTTGGTAGTGGTCAGCGTGTTTTGTCACAGCAATGGAGAAACAAACTAGAACACTGTGTATACTAACCTGAATGAATTCTCTAGCTCGTCCTAAAGCAAAAGCTGAGCCTCTCACTCCCCCAGCACACTTTGTCCCCCACCACCACTTTCTTCTCTGACGCAAGAGGTCTGATAACCGTGATGCAGTTTAGCACTTGATGCACTTATTTTTGAGGTGGGAGAGGGGCAATTTCAGCATGCTGCCCAGGCTGGCTTCCGAGTCCAGATCCTCCTGCTTCAGCTTCCAGGGTAGGAGAGGACAGGCGAGTGCTACCACGCCCAGATAAGGTCACTTTCTAAAATAATTCCCCTCCTAACTATAGTCCCTCAGGTTTGGGAGTAGGGGTTAGGTTTAAGATGAAGCCAGGGTGCATGAAGGATGTGCAACCGGGCTGGGCAGGGCCTGCGCGATGCCTCAGTGGGTCGAGGGCTGGCGCGTGCACACTGAACAAAATGTAATAAAAACTAAAGGAAAGGGCAGAGGAGCTTGGGGTAGGAAATTCAAGAGGAAGCTGACCCAAGCGGGCAGCAACTGTGGGCTTGGGGCGAGAGCGCCCAGGGGAGCTGTGCAGGGCGCTGGGAAGGTCAGGCGACCACGGAGGCATTGCTGCCTTGAACTAAAGCCTTAGTTTTCTCCTCTGTAAAATGGGTATGACGGTGACTTTCCTGCACTGGAAGGCCTTTTCCACCGACTGGGGAGGCTCCGCCCTCCACGGCCGTTGGACCGAGCGCGCGTCCCAGGGGCGGGGTCTCCGTTCCCGCCCGAGCTCGGCCCCGCCCCACGGCCTCGGTCGCCGCTGCGTCCTGGCATCCCGCCGACCTTCCAGATCCGCCCGGCCGGTGCGGGCTGCGGCGGCGAGGGGCTGTTGGCTCCCGACCCGGCGGGGTCAACCCGGCCAACCCCCTGCCTCCGCCGCGCCCCGTTCGGCTTTGGGAACCCGCGGCCGCCGGAGGCGGAAGGGAAGTCGGCGCCGACGAGGGCGCTAGTATCTGGAGTCATCGTAAGGGTCACGTGTCGTGAACACGCCTGTAAAATCAGTGTAACGTACGTGTAAAGACGGCTCCGAGAGGTCGGGCGCGGAACTCGGACGCGTCCCTGCGTGGGTCCTGGGGCTGCGGTTGACCAAGTGCAGAGGGTGGAGCTCGGTTGCCCTCCGGCCACGCCTGTGACGCTTTAAAAAGTGGAGAGCGGCGCCCCGGGAGAGCCCGGAGGCTGTGGTGCTCGTGCGGGGTGGATGCAGGTGTGCGTGCCCAGTAGTGGCCTTCGTGGCGGGCCGATCGTGCTATCATTAATTTTTGATGTTTCCTGCAAAGCAAGAATCGTTATCTCGCTTTTGCTGGCGGGGGAAAAAAGTTTGGCACCAAAAAGGCGTTTGTTTCCCCTAATGCCAGCGGAAGCACGGTGGCCCAGCCTTAGAGCCCCAGCATCCTGCCTTCTCTTCTAGACTGTTCCAAAACAAATGAGTAGTCACTTTGATGCTACTCATAAAGAGAGCGCAGTAAAGCCAATGTCTGTGGATGTGAAGGGTTAATAACCTTGAGTGTCAGGTCTGCCCTGTGGAGTCTGGAGGAGGGGGTGGAAGAAATCATGTAAAATAATGGCAAGGGGAAGTTTTTGTGACTTCAGGTTTGCCTCTGTCCATTGCCTCTGTGTTGATGTCATTTTTTCAGGGGAATATCCTTAACTCATATCCTATTACCTACACTTCTGGTATCCTGTTGACTGTCAGTCTGTCCAGGCCTTTACTCTGGGTGTTCTTTACTAGAGCTGTTTTGTGAGAACCAATTGTTCAGATGTGGAATGATCTGTCGGCTCCTGACGAAAAACAACCAACAGCTCTTCGAGGAGAGGACAAGTTAAAAATGCACAAGAAAACCAGTATATTTGATAGCTGAGTTATTTGGGGAAAAAACAGACTTTGATTCCCCCCGAGCTTACTCATGACGTGAAAGCAATAGCTCATTTTACCTTCAGCATGATGGTAGTGGTAGGGAATCCTGATTACACCCTAGTGAATTGGGAAAAATGTTCTTTTCAGAAAGAGCCGCCTTTTGGACAGCTTAGAACAAGTGGAGACCTTTTTGTGCTTGGGATGTAAACTCTTCTCCCACTTCATCTGTCCATAAAACTTGTCTAAGAGCTTGGGACCCAAGATGTGTGATATCGCCCTTAAGCCCTTCAGTCTGTACACAAGAAACTAAGATAGTTTCATCTGGGCAGCTAGCCTTTTACTGATCGTTTTCTTCCATTCAGTTCCACACGGATAAGAATACCCAGAAGACCTAAATGGCATCCAGGGATTTCTGCCTGCCTGGAGAAGGGATGGTGGTACTGCAGCAAGGTAAGGGCAGACGTTTGCAAGAGGCTTGATGGCTTTTCCAGAGAGACCTTGTCAGATCCTTCCTGTCTGTAATGAAAAGAATTCAGAGTGCCTGCTGGGGTGGGTTCTGCCATGTTGCCCATGTTTCTGGAGAGAATGGAAACCTTGAAGATTCGTGAACCCTCTCCTTGGGAAGCAGGTCATCCCAACTCCTGTTTGTGCAGGTTCAGTATCCACTTATGCAATACACTAACACCTCAAGATGCTCTGCTCCCATGATGCATCAGCAAGCATATTACAAAGACAAGGGTGGCTAGTCAGTTCCTTAAAGGCTTCTTTCCTACTTGTTTTTATTTTCTTTTTTCTTTTTAATTTTTTTGTTTTTAATTTTAGACAAGGTCTCACTATATGTCTCTGGCTGCCCTGGAACTCTCTATGTAGACCAGGCTGGCCTTGAACTCACAGAGATTCGCCTGCCTCTGCCTCCTGAATGCTGGGACTAAAGGCGTGCACCACCACGCCTGGGGAATATTTTTATTTATTTTTTTATTTTATGTGTATGAGCGTATTGCCTGCATGTTTGTGAGTGCACCCGTGTTGTGCAGTGCCTTGGAGGTCAGAAGAGGGCCTTGGATTCCTCTGGAACTGGAGTTAAGGATGGTTTGTAGCCGCCATGTGGGTGCTGGGAATCGAACCCGGTCCTCTGCAAGAGCAATCAGTGCTGAGCCATCTCTCCAGCCCCGAATATCCTTACATATAAAATAAATACATTTTACTTTGAGTGTCTTTTCTAGTTTATTTGTGATTTGTGATTTGAGACAGTATGGCAATGCAACCTAGGCTTGTCTGGAAGTCATTTTGTAGCCGAAGGTGCCGTGGAACTCCTGATCTCCTGCCTCAGCCTCCTTGATGCTGGGATTACAAACCGTACCCAATTCGTTGTTGTTGTTGTTTTTTTTTTTTTGGTCTTTTTGAGACAGGGTCTCCCTGTAGCCCCAGCTGTCCTGGAACTCACTATGTAGACCAGGCTGGCCTTGAACTCACACAGATCCGCCTGCCTCTGCCTCCCAAGTGCTGGGATCAAAGGCCTGCGCCACCACGCCTGGTTGTTGTTTTTTTTAAACATTTATTTATTCGTTCTGTGTGTTGTGTATCCATGTGAGCGTGCTTTTACCACTGTGCATTGTGACTTTCTTTCTCTTTCTCTCTCTCTTTCTTTCCTTTTAAATAATATTTAGATACTTTTCCTACTCAAAACCAAGGACTTTTAGAAGTATTAGTTATGTTCAATTATACGATGTTAAGAGTCCATGCCTTTGCTTTTTTGTCCTTGGTTAAGTATTTAGCAGGCAGTTTCCTCCTTGTAACCTGAGCGAAGAGGACCTGTTACAGAACCCACATTTCAGCAAGCTGTTGCTTAGTCTCTCACAACACGTGGATGAGAGTGGTTTAAGCCTCACCCTGGCAAAACAGCAGGCTCAGGTGAGGCTCCCAGGTGAAGGGATGACAGGAGGAAGGTAAAGTCCTTGAGAAATAGAGAGGGGGGCGAGGGAGAGGGAGGGAGGAGGAGGCGGGGAAGAGTCTTGGACAGGGATTGTTTTTATTTTCAGGCATGGAATGAAGTTCGGCTACATAAGACAGCATGGCTGAGGTCTGAGATTTTACAGAGAGTCATCCAAGAGCTGCTTGTGGACTACTATGTGAAGGCACAAGACACAAATTTAACTTCAGAAGACAAAAAGGTGAGGTCAAGAAATGAGGTAGATGTCAGTGACAATGATAAGGGTGACCAGGCTAGCCAGTGGTGGCACACGACTTAGCCCAGGACCTGTGAGGCTGGGCCAGGAGGAGCTGCAGTGCAGGAGTTTGAGACCAGCCTGGGCAACATAGTGAGACTTGGAGGGGAAAAGGAAGGAGGGAAGGAAGGAGAAAAGGAGTCGGGAGAGAACACTTCTTATTGAGTTATCTGAAGAGGGTGACATGTTTAAAGCCTTTCAAAGTGTGTGAGAACAGGTGCCTGGGGATGGACGGGGTGGAAGAGAGGGTTTGTAAGTCATCATCTTGTGCTTTTTTTTTCCCCAGTTTTATGAGACCCTAGAACAGCGGTTGCTTGTGACTGAACTGACACAACTTTTAGGTCCTAGTCAAGAGAAGGAGATCCCGCCACTGCTGGGCCTGGAGAAGGCGGACCTGCTGGAGCTCATGCCATCCTCAGAGGTGAGAGGTGGGCAGGTACTGGGATCGAATGGTCCATTTCTCCTGTATTCATCATCACCCCCCCACCACCCCCATTGTATCCCAGACTGGCCTCGAACTTTGGATCTTCCTGATCACACTTCCCAAGTTGCTAGGATTATAGGCATGCACCATCACACCTCTTTTATGGGGTGCTGGGGATCAAACCCAGTGATTTAGATGTAGGCAAGCACTACATCTCTAGCTGAAGTGGGTTTTTTTCATTTATTTATTTATTTATTTATTTATTTATTGGTCTTTTTGAGACAGGGTCTTCCTGTAGCCCCAGCTGTTCTGGAACTCACTATGTAGACCAGGCTGGCCTTGAACTCACAGAGATCTGCCTGCCTCTGCCTCCTGAATGCTGTGATTAAAGGTGTGCGCCACCATGCCCCACCTGTTTTTATTTTTAACTCTTATTTTTACTTTATGTGTACGAGTGTATTATTTGCATGCACATAAGTGCACCAGTGTCGTGCAATACCTGCGAAGGTCATACGAGAGTATCGGATCCCCTGGAACTGGAGCTGGGACAGTTGTTTAGCTGCCAGTGAGTGCTGGAAATTGAACCTGGGTCAAGCTTTACTGTTTCTGTAAAAATTAGACGTATCACAATGATCAAATTCAAGAAAAATATTTCATAAGAAGAGCATAAGAACTGAAATTTGTCTAGAAATACAGTATTTTATTTTATTTTTTTTGGGAAATGCGAGCATTTCTTTCGTGACTGATTATCTGAAGCCTCCAGGTGGCTGGATGCTGCCACAGCTGCCCCGAGTGAGCCTGGTGTCCTTCCACGGAGCCCTGGTGTGAGCCTGTTGGAGGTATTCCAGGTGCTCCACTCATCTGGTGTGTTTTCTCTTGCACTTGGCCGGGCAGCCACATTTGCCAGTTTTCTTTGTTGTTTGTTTGAGACAGGGTCTCCCTATAGCCCCCGCTGGCCTATGTAGACTAGGCTAGCCTCGACTTCATAGAGGTCCACCTGCCTCTGCTTCTGAGTGCTGAGATTAAGGGCATGCACCACTGTGCAGAGCTCAGGCCAACTTCTGAAGGTCGTAGGCCATAGAGCTTTGGTATCGGTACAGCATGTGCCTTTTATTATGACACTTCGCAAACGATGATGTTCCCTTCATCTTGCTTCTGCCGCCAGGACCAGAGACTGGTAGAGTGAAAGGGGGTATTACAGACAGCTGACACTGATGACATCATACTCACCGTCTTCATTCTCTATAGATGACCTGCTTTTATTGCTTTTGTGGTCCCTCTTTGTTTTTTGTTTGTTTGAGATAGGGTCTCACTATGTAGACCAGTTTGGCCTCAAACTCACTGAGCTCTACCAACCTCTGCTCCTGAGCGCTGGGATTCAAGATGTGCAACATCACACTGCCCATTACCTTAGTTTTTGGATTTGTTTTTGTTGTTGATGTTGAGACAGGGTCTCACTGTAGCCCCAGATGGCCTGGATCTCAGTATGTAGACCAGGCTGGACTCCCATCTAACAGAGATCTGCCTGCCTGTTCCAAGTGCTGGAATTAAAGGCCTGTGCCACCAGACCCTGCTGCTTAGTTTTTTGTAACAGAGTATTATTCCGTAGTCCAGGCTGCCCTCAAATTCATGATCTGACATTCAAGATCATTGTTGGTTACCTAATGAGGTGTGCTACATGAGACCCTATGCTACGTGAGACCCTATGCTACATGAGACCCTGTCTGGGAGAAAAAAGAACTCAAGTCAATAAATGGATTTAATTCAAGAGTGGAGGTTCATGAGCTGGAGAGATGGCTCAGCAGTTGAGAACACTGGCTGCTCTTGCAGAAGACCTAGGTTTGGTTTTCAGTGCCCACATGGTAACTCACAACCATCTGTAATTCCAGTTCCAGGGGTTCCAATGCCTTCTGGCCTCCAAGTGCACTGTACACATGTGGTGCACATACATACATGCAGGCAAAATACTCATACACATAAAATAAAAATCTTGAAAAAAAAAAAAAAAAGTGGAGGTTCATGCCTGTAATCCCAGAATTTGGGAGCCTGAGTAGGAGGACTAAGTTCAAAGTCAGCAAGACTGTCTCAACAAACAAACAGATACTAGTAAAATGACACCTCAGTAGTACTCTGAGCAGAGTGTCTAGGGACATGGTGCTTGGTGTCTTTATTGAATCATCAGTTTAAATCACTTCCAGGGTTATAGCTCAGTGGTAGAGCCCTTGCCTGGCACGCCCAAGGCCTTGGGTTCAATCCTCAATATGGCAATAACGAACGAACAAACCATTGGTAGGATTCCACTGTTTGGATAGGGCATAATTTGCTCGTTCAGTGTTATTCTTGTTTCTGGAGACGGGATCTCGGGTAGTTTGGCCTTGAACTCCATCCTGCCTCAGCCTCCCAAGTGCTAGGATTAGTGGACCACCGTGCCCAGCTCTTGATGCATTTTCTTTGGTTACTTGTGAGGTTATTTGTATCATATATTCATGGGCAGGATCTGTCTCATTCTCACGGTCGATTTGCACCTCTTCTGTGGCTGTAGGATTTTGTGTGGATGAGAGCGCGGCTCCAGCTCGAAGTGGAAGAGCAGCTCAAGAAGAAATGTTTCACCCTGCTGTGTTACCACAACCCGAATTCAGGTGAGTGCCGCTCAGTCTCCCAAGTACTGGGGCTTCTGGCATGAACCACCAGGCTGGCTTTGGGCTTTGGGCTACTCTTGAGAATAATACATTTAAACTTTAGATCAGAAAGGTTTGTTTCCTGGGTGGTAGAATTAAATACGTTTTTAGGAACTCCTTCAGTCGTGCAGGGGCTGAGTAGGAGCATCCTTCTGCTTCAGGGAAAGATGAGTTTCTTAGGCGGATGAGAGGCAGAGCAAGGAAAGTTCAGATGCGTCTCTGTCCTCCTTATCTTTATTTTTTGTGGCTTAAGAATGCAAAGCTTGGTGGTGCACGCCTGTAGTCCCAGCATTTGGGAAGCAGAGACAGATGGGTCTCTGAGTTCAAGGCCAGCCTGGTCTACATAGTAAATTCCAGGCCAGCTGGGGCTACAGGGAGACCCTATCTCAAAACACCAAAAAAAAGAAAAGAAAAGAATGCAAGGTTATGGGCTAAAGAGATGGTTCAGCAGTTAAAGAGTGCTTCCTGTTCTTCCAGAGGATGGGAGTTCAGTTCCCAGCACCCATGTCAGACAGCTTGTGACTGTTGTACTCACATATGCACATACCCACTCAGATGCATCCATATACACATAATTTAAAAATAGCATTAAAGAGCTGGGTCGTGGTGGCTCACGCCTTTAGTCTCAGCACTCTGGAGGCAGAGGCCAGCGGATCTCTGAGTTCAAGGCCAGCCTGATCTACATAGTGAGTTCCAGGCCAGCTGGGGCTACAGGGAGACCCTGCCTCAAAAAAGACCGAAACAACAACAAAAAAGGAGTGGCGGCTGGAGAGGTGACTCAGGAGATAAGAGCACTTGCTGTTCTTCCAGAGGACCCGGGTCTGACTCCCAGCACACATGGCAACTCTGGTTGTGTTGTCTTCTTGCCTTCACGAGCACTACACACACACCAGTAGACATACTGGCAATCAAAACACTTGTACAAGTGGTAGCGCACGGCTTTAATCCCAGTACTTGGGAGGCAGAGGCAGGAAGATCTCTGTAAGTTCAAGGCCAGCCTGGTCTACATTGTGAACTCCAGGTCAACTGGGACTACAGGGAGATCCTGTCTCAAAAAGACCAAAAAAAAAAAAGAATTGGGGCTAGAGACGTGGCTCAGTGGTTAAGGGCGCTGGTTCTTCTTGCAGAGGACCTGGGTTTAGTTCTCAGCACCCACTTGGTGGATAATAGCTGTCCATAATTACAGTTTCAGGGATCCAGTGCCCTCCTCTGGCCCCCATGGGCGTTGTACAACACAGGTGTACTTGCATACATGCAGGGAAAACACTCATATACATAAAATAGAAAGAAAAGAGCTGGGTGTGATGGCACACAACTGTGGTCCCAGCACTTGGGAGGCAGAGGCAGGCGGATTTCTGTGAGTTCAAGGCCAGCCTGGTCTACATAGTAAGTTCCAGGACAGCTGGGGCTACAGGAAGCCCCTGCTTCAAAAAGACAGGAAGGAAAGAAGGAAGGAAGGAAGGAGGGAGGGAGGGAGGGAGGGAGGGAAGGAAGGAAGGAAGGAAGGAAGGAAGGAAGGAAGGAGAAGAAAAGAGAAAGAGAAAGAAAAGGCTTGAGCTGGAGAGATGACTCAGTGGTTAACAGCATTTGCTACTCTTAACAGAGTACCTGAATTCAGTTCTCAGTACCCACTGGGCAGCTCACAACCACCTGTTACTCCAGCTCTAGGGGATCCATGCCTCTGGCCTCCATGGCTATCTGCACTCATGTGCACATACCTATCTACCTACAGACAGACATACATAATTAAAAATCTTAAAAAGGGGGGCTAGAGAGATGGCTCAGCAGTTAAGAGCACTGACTGCTCTTACAGAGGACCCAGGTTTGATTCCCAGCACCCACATGGCAGCTGACAACAGTCTGTAACTCCAGTTCCAGTGTCTTCTGACCTCCTCAGGCATTGCATGACATGGGTGCACTTACACACATGCAGACAATACACTAATACACATAAAATTAAAAAAATAATAAGCCAGGCGTGGTGGTACCCATCTTTAATCCCAGCACTCGGGAGGCAGAAGCAGGCAGATCTCTGTGAGTTTGAGGTCAGCCTGGTCTACATAGGGAGTTCCAGGCTAGCTGGAGTTACAGGGAGACCTTGTGTCAAAAAGACAAAACCTAACTAGGAGCTGGACATTGGAAGAGCGACAGGGACATGCAATAGAACGTAAGGTGGCATTAGACAGGCGTGCAGGACAGTGGCGACTGGGGTATCTCTGTCAGTATTCCTATCTCTGCCCAGATTCTGATGGAGAAACGCTAAAAACAGCAAAGGTGTGGAAACTGGCAGAGGTCCTGGCAGGTGAGAAGCAGCAGTGCCTGGATGCCAAGGGCCAGCAGATGGAGCAGCTCGTGCTGCTAGAGAAGAAGCGTGCCGCCTATGCCCAGGTTTGCTGGGGCAGTGGATGCTTTCTTTGACCCCGGGGGCCCTCCAGGTAAGCCAGGGATTTCTGACTTGTGCTTTCCATCACTGTCGCTCACAGCCTCCTGTCTTTCCTCTTGGGGGTTCAGGTGCTTTTCCGCTGCCTCACCTTGCTCCAGAGGCTTCTTCGGGAGCCCCGGCTGAAGACTAAGTCTGAGCTAGACCGCATCAATGCCCAGTACCTGGAAATCAAGTGCAGTGCCATGATCCTTAAGATGAGGTGAGCTATGAGCCCTGTGGATGGAAGAGTGTCCTCACATGCCCCTCGAACGTCCCTCTTCCTCATCTTCTCCGCCACACCTAGCACCTGGTGGGTCCCAGTGAATGTCACAGAGCAGTATTATTAACCTTTCTTTGGATTGCCCAACGGCTTTCAACACTCTTTGAGTGTTTATTTTACAGCCTTCTGAAATAGGTGCTTTACTAGAGATCGATGCTTTGGGAGTCACAGTGACTTTACCTATCCCATCCTGCTTAGCCCACACCTTGACTGTGGCAAGTACTGTGGCCACTCTTAACTCTACTTTAAAAACATTACTAGTGTTGGTTGTGCATGTATACGTGTGTGAGAGAGAGGGGTGGTTGGACCCAAGTTGTCGGGCTTTACCTGAGGAGCCTTCTCACCATCCCCTACCTCTCCTTGTTAGGAATTTTCCATCTAACATTTCTTTCTTCCCTCTGTCAGAATGGAGGAACTAAAGATTCTGTCTGACACGTACAGTGCTGAGAAAGTGGAAGTTCACCGTGTCATTAGGTGAGACTCCCCAAGAGCCAGGGACAGCTACTCACAGCCAGTTTCCAGGACCTGCTTTCTACATATTTCTCTTTCCTATTCTGAGGACTGACATCCTCATGTTGACTCTTCTTTGCCTGGGTTCTTAGGGACCGTTTAGAGGGAGCCATTCGCCTACAAAAGCAGGACTTGGAGAAATCACGACAGGTCCTGAACACCTATGAGGTCCTTGGAGAGGAATTTGACCAGCTGGTGAAAGAGTACACCCAGCTCAAGCAGGCAACCGAGAACAAGCGCTGGGTCCTCCAGGAGTTCACCAAGACCCACCACTGAGTTAAGTGTTGGCCGAGCCAGGAAGCGTGGATTCTGCACGGCCACTGCCACACTGTTCCTGCTGAAGGAACCACCTCCACGCGGGGCTGCCTTCATCATAGGGAGTATGGAGACACTTGGCTCAAACACTGCAATCATTTAGGCACCCTCCTGATTTTTCTCCTTCTTTATAGTGGCTGGGTCTCTTCTGGAAAATGTAGTAATTAGATTTGTATAATTTCACACATAGCTGTTTTTGTCAGACCCGTGTCGTATTTATCTCCCACATAAAGTAGTTATATTATGGCTTAGGATTCCAGTCACTATCCTTGGGCAAAGATGGAAAAGAACGTTGAAGTCTGGGAAAGAGCTCAGTCGATCCAAATAGAGACATATCTCTAAAACTTCCCACGGGGTGGGAGCTAGAAGTGCCAGCCTGCCCTCCTCCAGTCCTAGAGGTCTCTAGAGAAGAAATGGATTAAATCTGGGCTGGCTTTCTATATTTTTATTTTTTGTCTTTTCTGAGACAGGGTCTCCCTGTAGCCCCAGCTGTCCTGGAACTCACTATGTAGACCAGGCCGGCCTTGAACACAGAGATCTCCCTGCATCTCCCTCCTGAGTGCTGGGACTTAAAGGCATGTGCCACCACGCCTGGCCTCTGGGCTTGCTTTTTAAGACCTATAATCTCCAGAGGAGAGCTAGGTGCTGAGGCAGGAGGAAGCTGTTGTCACCATGACTGTTAGTGTGGCAGTTATAATAAAACAACCTGGCACCCAGTTCAGTTTAGGAACGGGAACAGCCACTTAAGCCCCTGTGACTTGAAGATTTCTTATCTCTCCAAAGGCAAAGGGTGGGCGCTCTGAGAACAAAGTTCTCCAGTCTGCTTAGCTGACAGCAAGGCAGGGATCTGGCTGGTATCAAAATCAGGGACAGAGTAGCAGAAGGGCTCTTACTCAGAACCTACCCAACTGCTTTCCAGAGAGGCTGGCTTAGGCATTCTGCTGTGGCCAAATGATGGTCTGGGTTGGCATAGACTCGAGCTTCCTATATGTGGCCTGAGGTGACCTGTAAAAATGGTTTGCTAGTTTCTTGACCCAGAAAACCCTACAAAATCATGGAAATCAAGAGGTTCCAATCTTTGTGTTCACTTTTTAAGAGCATACGTGAAACTGCCCAGGCCATCAAAGGTATGCATATCTGAAAAGCCACCCAGTGTCTGAAAGATGTCACTTTAACGAATCAGTGTGTGCCATTCTGGTGGTATAACAGTGGATTTGGTAGGTGTGCCCAGGCCAAACAGTGGGGCTGGACACAGGGTCGGTGCACAGAAAGAGTGCTAAATTTTTGCTGCACATGCTTAAAAATGCAAAGTAGCTGGGCATCGTGGCGCACACCTTTAATCCTAGCACTTGGGAGGCAGAGGCAGGTAGATCTCTGAGTTCAAGGCCAGCCTGGTCTACAAAGTGAGTCCCAGGCCAGCTGGGGCTATAGGGAGACCCTGTCTCAAAAAGTTAAAAAAAAAAAAAAAATACAGAGTAATGCTGAACCTAAGGGTTTAGATGTAGACTCTACATTGAGCATATCCAGGTGAACAAATCACCTAAGATGGGCCGTAGAATTTACAGAGCTCATGGTTGGATTAACCCACATGTGAAATGATCCTCGCTGGAAAGGGACAAATTGTTCCTAAGCCTGAGGAGGAAGTTTCCCAAAAGAAAAAGATAGCCCAGAAGAAACTGAAGAGACAAACATTTATGGCAGGAGAATAAACTGAGCACAAAATAAACAGATAAAAGTAAAAAAATTAAGGACTTGAACTTCACATTAAATCTTTCTGTAAATCGTGCCGACCACCCCTTCTGCATGCAAATGCCAGCCCACATGAAATGAACTTCTCCCTTAAACTTTTTAGGGAATGTTTTCAAATCAATAGAAAAGCTGAAAGACTAGCAGGATAAATACTAATTTACTTTTTTTTTGAGACAGGGTCTCACTCTATAGACCAGGCTTGAACTCACAGAGATCCTCCTGCTTCTGCCTCCTGAGTGCTGAGATTAAAGGCATATGTCACCATACCAGCTGCCAATATACTTAAAAATTTTTTTTTTATGTGTATGACTTGCCTGCATGTATGTAAGTTCACTCATGTCATGTAAGGCCTGTGGAAGCCAGAAGAAGGTGTCAGATTCCCTGGGAACCTAATCCAGGTCCTCAGTAAGAACAGTAAGTGTTCTTAACTGCTGGGCCATCTCTCCAGCCCCTGCCAATGTACTTTTTTTTTTTTTTTAAGTTATTTTTTTCCCTCGAAGTTTTTTGTTTTGGGGTTTTTTTGTTTGTTTGTTTGTTTTTTTTTTGTCTTTTTGAGACAGGGTCTCCTTGTAGCCCCAGCTGTCCTGGAACTCACTATGTAGACCAGGCTGGCCTTGAACTCAAAAAGATCCTCCTGCCTCTGCCTCCCAAATGCTGGGATTAAAGGCATGAGCCACCATGCCTGGCTCCAATATACTTTTAATCTACATTTAGCATTGATGACATTTTGTTTTTCTTTCTGTCTCCCCGTTCCTTCCTTCCTTCTTTTCTCTCCCTAAATATTCAGATATAGATTTGTACCGAACTATTTTATTGAAAGTTACAGATTTCAGCAAGCAACTACTAAAAATTAGGGAACGCCCTTGTATAACACAGTTATTCATAAAAATTAATAATTCTAGAATGCCTATTATCCAGATCATCAAATTTCTCAGTGTTTTTCCCCGATTCAGTAAAATTTAGTGTTTTGGGATTGGAGGGATGGCTCTGGTTAAGGGTGCATAGTGCTCTTGTAGTGTATCCGAGTTCGGTTCTCAGCCCCCATCTCTGGTAGCTTACAGCCACCTACAACCCCAGCTCCAGAAGAAGGGATCCACTGCCTTCTGACTTCATGTGCATACACACGTACGTACATACATACATACATACACAGAAATAAAAATAAATCTTTTTTAAAAATATTTTATTATTTTTATTTTATGTGTGTGAGTGTTGTGCCTGCATGTAGCTAAATGCACCCGTGTCGTGCGATGCCCACAGACAGAAGAGGCTGTCGGATCCCCCGGAACTGGAGTTACCGACAGTCTTTAGCTGCCATGTGGGTGCTGGGATTCAAACCCGGGTCTTCTGCAAGAACAGCCAGTGTTAACCGCTGTGCCATCTCTCCAGCCCAAATAAAAATAAATCTTTTTAAAAGATCTAATGTCTTACACTTGGATGTTAGCTTTCATTAGTTTTTTTTTTTCTTTTTAAATAGTGTTGATGTGTAGCCAAGGCTGCCCTCATACTCGTGATCTTCATGTCTCAGATTCCTGAGTGTTGGGATTATAAGCATGCACTGCCAGGTCAGGCTGTGAAGGCTACTTAATAGATAGCATTACACAGAACTGGGGCCACAACAGACCGGAATGTGTCACTATTCATCATGCTGTTGCATTGCCAAACTGCCACTATGGGGTCTCTCTAAGGTATAAAAACACTTTGGGGCTAGAGAAATGGCTCAGTAGTTAAGAGCACTTGTTCTTCCTGAGGGCCAATTTGCTAACTCCAGTTCCAGGGGATCCGATGTCCTCTTCTGGCCTCTGAGGGGACCCACAGACACACATCAATACAAATAAATTGTAAAGAAGGTGCACCTTCTCTTGGTAGTTAGTAGCCTCTGGAAATCATCTTCAGAGATCTCAGCATAGTTCTCCCCGATACCCCCATGGCCTTCAGCATTTCTTCATTTAACCAGATGCATCCTGGACTACACCACATTTTGATGTTTGACATATTAAGTGTAATAGTAAAGAAATAGAAGCTGGGTATGGTGGTTGCATGCCTATAATCCCAGCACTAGGAAGGTGGAGACAGGAGAATACTGAATGTTTAAGGCCAGCTTGAGGCTATCCCCAAAAATACAAGAAATGGACCTTCTCCCCAGGGTTTGTAACCTGTAAACATTAGCAGACACAATTTACAGATATGAACTAACATTAAGTGTGAGTAAATGTGACTGAGCCAGAGTTTATAATGTGGAGCCTTGATGGGGATGTGGATTTGATTCAGACTTTGATGAGGTAAATTTGGGATAGACTTTTGGAACAAGGAACAAGAAAAAAGGAGCAGTTATGGCAGAGTTAAGAGCAGGCAGGTCACCAAGGAAAGCTTTCGCTTAACAGTGATCAAGATCTGAGACTTTGGAGAGCTGAAGTTTGAGTTGGGCTTCCAGAAAATAGTATCCCAGGCCATTTCCATCCTCGCTCCCTAAAGAGCAGATGGACACCAAACTGTTTCTTTATTTCTAAAATCCTGAAGAAGACTGAGCACTTGACCACAACAGTTTTACGAAACTAAAAATTTGTTTTTTGGTTTCTTTTTAATTTGGTTTCTTTCTTTCTTTTTTTTTTTTTTTTTTTTTTTTTTTTTTTTTTTTTGCTTGTCCACTAAAACCCGCTACTGGCCTGGAACTCGCTATGTAGACCAAGCTGTCCTTGAATTCACAGAGATCCCCCAGCATCTGCCTCCCGAGTGCTGGGATTAAAGGCATACACCACCATGCCTGGCTTTGTCTTTTTTTTTTTTTTTTTTTTTTATGTGTATGTGTGTATTGCGTGCATGGGGAGCTGGGGACATAACTCCACTGGCAGAATGTGCTTGACTAGTATGCATAAAGCTCTGGGTTCAAGTCCCAGAACTGCATAAGCTGGATACGGAGGTACAAGGAGACAGCTCAGTAGGTAAAGTACTTGCCACACAAGCATGAACATTCGAGTTCATAAAGCCAATGTGGCAGAGCATGTTGGACACACACACAAATGAGTACATAAATCAGACGTGTACTGTAGGTCAGTACTTGGGAAATGGAGACAAGATCAGAAGTTCAAGGTGCAGGAGGCCAAGAGAATATTAGTGCATCATCCAACTCTCACCAGCAAAGCTTCCTCATGTAATAGCTGATGATTAACACCGAAAGCCACAACTGGCCAAATGTAGAGAAGAACCTGCAGGGTGCATGTCCCTGGATAGGACTCCGCTATATTAAACCTCTGCCACCCAGGGCTCAGGGGCCACTGTGGAAGAGGGGGTGGAAAGACTGAGCCAGGGGTAGTGGATGACCACAAATAAACAGCATTTTCCAGGTGGCCGAGAACTTGTTCATGTGAACTTACAGCAATGGTGGCAGCATATACAAGACCCATGCAGACTTCAACTAGACAAAAACTCAGCATAGAGGTGGGGAAATGGGTAAGAAGCCGCAACTTGAGCTGAGGAATGTTAGCAACTGATCACTGCTGGATGAGGGAGGTTGGTCTTCTTTAAGGGACAAGGCTTCAGTGGATGGACACACACTGAGGGTACACAAACTTGAATCAGTAGGCCTTAATATATATGACAGAATGCGTGAAAATCAGTGGGGGAGGGGGATCTAATTAAGATGTATGAAATGCCCAAAAATTCAAGCTGGGCGTGGTGTTCCATGCCCTTAATCCCAGCCCTCAGAAGGCAGAGGCCAGCATATCTCTGTGAGTTTGAGGCTAGCCTGGTCTACATAGTGAGTTCCAGGCCAGCTGGGGCTACAGGGATACCATCTGAAAAAGAAAAGCCCAAAAATTCAATAAAAAATTTAAAAATAGAAATATACTAGATTCTTAGAACTGGATCAAACAACTGAGTGAAGCTTGGCATTTCCTAGTGGTTTGAACCAGTAAATTCCCCCCTTACTATATATATATATAAAAGGGGATGAGCTGCAGAGATGGCTCAGTGGTTAAGAGCACTGGCTACTCTTGCAGAAGACCCAGGTTTGAATCTCAGCACCCACATGGCAACTAACAACCATCCATAATTCCAGTTCCAGGGGCTCTGATGCTCTCTTCTGTTCTCTGAAGGCATTGCATGACACAGGTGCACTTACCCAGCAATACACATATACACATAAAAAATTAAAAAATAACATTAAAAAAAAAGCTCAAGGTGATCCTTGGCTACACAGCAAGTTGTGCATAAAAAGAAAATATGTGTTTAATTCCACCATTTGGGAGACAGAGACAGATGAATCTCTGTGAGTTCAAGGCCAGCCTGGTCCATATAGTGGGTTGCAGACCAGCTAGGGCTACAAGAAGACCCTGTCTCAAAAAGACCACAACAACAACAAAAAAAATGTGGTTAAAAAAAAATTCAGAAGTATATGCAATAAAAAGATGGAACCAGCCAGGCGTGGTGGCGCACGGCTTTAGTCCCAGCACTTGGGAGGCAGAGGCAGGCAGATCTCTGTGAGTTCGAGGCCAGCCTGGTCTACATACTGAGTTCCAGGACAGCTGGGGCTACAGGGAGAGCCTGTCTCACAAAGACCAAAAAAAAAAAAAAAAAAGAAACCATACCCACACACCATTTGTCATGCAATCTGTTACCACAGTCCATCCCCCTAGAGTAACAAGAGTGATTTGGTATATATAGTGTCATGTTTTTGACAAATATGCAAATGTGCATTAGTGTTAGCTATTATCGAGTGTGGCTGTATGGTAGTTTAACCAGGATGGATGTTTACATTGTCTCCAGTTTGCACCACTATGGAATGCTTCGTTGAATTTCATTGCATAAACATCTTGCTCAAGGGCCTTGCTTTATTTTTTAAAATATTTTATTTATTATTTTTATTTTATGTGTATGAGTGTTATGCCTACATGTAAGTGCACCTGTGTCGTGCAGTGCTCGTGGAGGACAGAAGAGGCTGTTGAATCCACTGGAACTGGAGTTACGGACAGTTGTTAG